GCAATTTCTTGATTGACTTTAATAAAGAAGTTTTAAAAAGGTAAGACAGGGCTGGGATTTAGCTCAGTGGTTCTGCTGCCTGCCTTGCAAGTGCAAAGTCCTGAGTTTGATCCCTGGTACAAAAAAAAAAAAAAAAAAAAAAAAAAAAAAAAAAAAAGAAAGTCAGGAAGTATCAGTGTTACTCACTTATCACAATGAACATCAACTATGAGCAAATAAAGTTAAAATTCCTTCTGGACCACAAGCAGTGTCTTGTACTTCCTTTTATAAAATACCCAGTTGCAACTGACAGAGACCTTAGTATGTAAGAGAGCCATGAACAGGTGAATTATAGATAATTACTTTGTATATAACCTGTCTCCAGAACAACAGAAGGAAATCCAACTTTATATGTCTGAACTTTCCACTGACTTAAATTCTAGGTCAAATGAGACTTATGTTTTTTAATGATAAACAATATTCATCTTTGGAGATGAATGAGCCACATCTATAAGAATGGCAATAGTATATGCAGAAAAGAACCATCAGTCTTACTGAAGACATTTTAAGTGGAATCTAAACTGGTATGACCAGGAATGAATGGGGGTTGCAATGCTATGGCCTGTGATAACACAGGTAAGTTTTAGAAAATTAGAAAGTGAAAATGTATAAAACTATTCAAGAGAAGGGTATAAAGTAATTGATTCATGTTAGTGGGTCCCAAACCAACTACTTTAACAATAAAACTGAAAAACGGAATTTCAACAGGTAAAAGGAAAACATAAAAATGGACAGGGAGCTTGAAAAAAGCAGCCAACTAGAAATTCTAGGATCAAAAAGTAAAAGAAGTAAGATTTTGAACTCAATGACTACTTATTAACAATAGTATACTAACTGGAGACAGAATTTGTAAAAGGGAAACCATCAAGAATGAAGCATAAAGAAAAAAGGAAACAGGATGAAATATATAAAAAAAGAGGATGGGAAACATAAAGTTCCCAGTGAGATGGTATAATTTGCATTTAACTAAAGTCCCAGAACTGGAGGAGAGAAAGGGATCAATGTATAATATGAAGAAAGAATAAAAATTTTCCAAAATTGATGAAGTATTTATCCCACAGATTTAAGAGGCTCAAATACTTCCTAGAAAATTAAATAAAAAGAAAGTCACACACATCTTCAACAATGTACAGAAAACCAAACAGAAAGTGGTACGAGCAAACAGAGGAAAAAAAATGAATTATACTCACTCAAATATATTGAAGCTAACTTCTCTACAGATACTAAAACAATGTCTTGCAAAAAAGCAAGACTGATTCAACATTTGAAAATAAAAGTACTTCACCACCTTAACAGAGTAACAGAGAAAAATTATATGACCATCTCAAAAGGTGCAGGAATAGTCATCTAATTTAACATAACACATATTTATGATTAAAAAACTAGCAGAGTGGTACAGTTCTATAATCTCAGCCCTCTAAAAGGCTGAGGCAAAAGAACCATAAGTTCAAGCCCAGCTCAGGAAACTTTGCAATTTAGCAAGATCCTGCCTTAAAATGAAAAACAAAAATAAAAGTTTTGAGGACATAGGTCAGTGTGAAGTCCCTGAGTCCAAACCCCAGTCCAAAAGCAGGGCGATGAGGTGAACCTCAGAGAAACAGTAGAGCTAATAAGGCTTATCTCCCCAAAACCTGCAGTGATTATTTTTAATAATATGATCCTCTTTACAATAATGAATCACACAAAGATGCTTGTTATCATTATATCCACTGCCACAGTAATACTAACCAATTCAGTGAGGCATAGAAGATATCAAAGCTGCAAAAAGTAGAAAGGAAGAAACAAAACTATTATACTACAAATGATTTTTGTACACAGAAAGTCAAAAATAAGAAAATTTATAGATAAATCCATCCCATTTCCATATACATTTTCTTATATCGGTCATAACTTTCATAATGGCAACAACAGCAACAAAAACTGCCTGCAAGTAAGTCTAATAAAAGGTAAGCAGGACTTCTACACAGGAGACAAATGCTGAGAGAAATTAAAAAACAAAAACAGGAGAAATATGTCACATTTATAGATTAGAAGATTCAGAATCATAAAAATGTCAACTCTCCCCCCAAATGTCAACTCATCAAACTCTATACAATTCTAACCAATATCTAAATAGCCTTGTATGTGTGGATACAACTTGTGGAGATTCTAAAATTTATATGGAAGTGTCAGGAGCTAGGAATTACTAGAATATGAACTCTTTAAAAACAGAATGGTATTAGAGTAAAGATAAACACAAAAATAACAGGTTGAGAACCAGACCCGCACATTCTGACAAGGGAGCAGAGTAAAATGGTGGTGAAAAGATGGCTTTTCAATAAATGGTGTTACGATAAATGGATATTGAAAGAGATGAAAATGGATTCCTATTGTACCTCATACACATAAATCAATCTGTGAAATTCAAAACAAGGTTTTAGAAAATAACACAGGAAAATATGACCTCAGAACACAATGAAACTGCATTAATATTATGAACTTTGACAAGGCAAATCTAGAGGGTGGGAAATGATATTTGCAACACATATAACAAGCATGACTCACACGTCAAAATACACATATCATACACACATATAACAAGAAGTCAATAAGAAAAAGAAAACATAGAAGAAAAATAAGCAAGAGACATGGACAAGCACTTCATAAAAAAGGAAATACACATATTCTATAAATTTAAGGAAGTTCCAACCTCATCGTTTTGACGAAATATAAATAAAATCCACAGAAAGGTAACATTACACTCACTGGAATGGCTAAAATTTAAAAGAAACACAATCTGAGTCTCATTTAGAATATAAAACAACATGGCTTTAGTAGTATCAATTGTTCAATCTCTTGGAAGCGGTTTCATGTTATGCAATCTATGATCCAACAATTCCATTCCTATGTATTTGGGAGATGCAATATATTCATATAATAATAATTATTATTATTATTATGCTTCTAACCTGGAAATAATCCATATAGGCATTCATTAAAGTGAATATTATGGTATATACACTACAATGGAATATTACACAGCAATGAAAGTCAATGAACCACAGTTAAATGCAGTAATATGAATGAATGTCACACCATAAAGTTAAGTAAAGAAGGACAGACACAAAATAATTCCCATTATATGATTTGGTTTAAATCAGTTTAAAAGAAAAGTACAGTACTGCATATACCCTGAAGTGTGCCACCAGAAAGATACACAGGAAGGAAAGGGCTTCTGGGTCACAACCAGTACTTTTTGACCTGAGGTCAACAAGTTTGCATCATAGTAACTCATCAAGCTATTCTTTAAATTTTATATAATTTTATGTTTGTCTGTTGTATTTCATATCAAAATGGCTTAAGAAAATTAAACAACTTACCCTGAGACTAGCATCTGCCCATCATGGGAAAAAGCACAAGTAAGAACAGGTGCACAGTGCCCACTCAAAGTACTTTTATACTTTAATTCAAAACCTGCAATTAACAAGGTGAAAAAAAATTAGCAAGCTTACCATGCTTGAAATTCATTTCTAACTCAACACTATTTTACTTATTAAATAAGTAATCTTTGGGTGCCTAAGGGACAAAAATTTGAAATCCTCATGCACCTCAGGTATTTATACATACAATTCCAATGTAGTGCAATTAAACAGTTTGAAAGCTTAAAAAGAGATTAAAAATGATGTGCTCAGTAAAGGCTAGATGGGGTAATTTATAGCTACCAAATCACTTTAAACATTTCAACTACACCACAAACATTTCAGTGTCTGTTAAAAAGAAAACATGCTAATTATCCAACAGACTAAAAATAAAATGCTTATATTTTGAAATATCTGACATTAGCAAACATTTTCTCATTCTGTGAATTAGATCAATGACAATTTACATATATTATAATTTCAATATATAACACATACTTACAAAGTATGGTAACACTAAAATGCTTTTTATGCTTTCTACAATTGCTGAAAATAAACATCACAAGTCTCTTAAAGGTACACTACAGAAACTTAATGTTTTAGTGACAACCTATAAAAACCTATAAAACCTATAAGAAACTAGCCTAGGAGAGACAAAGAAATCAATGAAATCCCTAGCAGACACAAAACCTTTTCTGAAATGATAGTCTCCTAAAGAAGATAGCAAGTATTTAACTAAACAACAATAACAAAAAAGCTTTGACAGCAGGTAAAAATTTTAAGCTCAAAAAAGGAAAAAAATATTACTACCTGGGAGAGCAGATATGAGCACTAAATGTGAAGTACGGTGGTGAATTTCAAAGGCCTTTCTTTGTAACAATCAAAGCAAAAATATTAAGCTGTGAAACAAAGACTACAGAACTGGCAATACGACCACATGAATAATTTATGTTCTCAAGAATATGACCCATATCTCTACTGCCTACAAATAAGCAATTAAAACAAGGTACAGACCACGACAAATGCTTCACAAAAAGGCTTTAGCCGCACATTTATAAACAGTTATGTATTTTTAAAATGTCAGTGTAAAAATATTTTACAGAAAATATATACACTTATCATTTCTTAAATCAAAATTTTGTTTATGGTAAAGAAAGACAAAAAGAAGAGCCGGATAAACCAGAGAAATAAAGGAACTCTCATTCTCACCAGCATGACATAACAAAATGATTACTACAGGGCTGGGATTTTTTAGTTCAGTGGCACTGCGCCTGCCTCACAAGCGCAAGGTCCAGAGTTCCATCCCCAGTACCAAAAAAACAAAACAAACAAAAAACAACAACAACAAAAAAACATTACTACAGGCAAACTAATAGGCAGTAAACGAATAGTTTTCACCACAAAAGGGATGTATTTCTTTCAGGATGATGGGCTCTTCTCTATACTCTCTTGTAACTATGAATGATAGAAACATAGTTTGTGATGGAATTAAACCCTGCTGAGTGAGGAATCTGAAGCTCAGTTGACCACAAAATTTCAAAGTCCCCCTTAAAATGATAATGAATGAATAAAAACATAAATAAACATGAATAAAGAGAAATGGGAAAGCAGGAAGAAGATTAAATGATGAGACCATATAGAGGAATAAAAGTCTAAGATACAAAGGAAGGGAGATGTGGAAAGAAGAAAGTTATTCTGTCCTAGAAAATCCAAAATATAGAATTATCAACAGCCAGGAAAAACAAAAATCAGCGAGAAGGACATTACCCTGGAAGTAGAAACTAATTAAGTCTGTGTGTAGAACATTCAGAGTCTACCTTCATTCAATCCCTTCCTGATCCCATTACATATTATGCCACATAAAAGCCAGGTACTTATCTCCAGATAAACTTTCTAAGATAAAATAATATTTGCATAAGGAGCTCTAGGGCCACAAAGACCTCCATACCCTTTGCCCCCAACCCTTCTCTTAGAAGAAACAATTACACACTCATCCTAAAGTGAAGCCAGCAACAATGGAATATCCATAGGCAGAGTTTCTGACCATCTTATTATCCAATTAGTAAGTGTAAATAAAACACTAAGGACCCCAAGACACTTGAAGAAGGTAATATGAGTAAGATCAGAGTAACAAAAAGAAAAAAAAAACAGCCCCCGGAGGTAACAGAGATGATCAGGAAATAAAGGGGGACTTAAAATATGATGATTAAAACTTTCAAATAAAAGCTTAAAGTAAAAAACTGAGGAATTTTTTTAACAAATTAGATTGAAATGGGGAGAGACATAAAGAATTAATTCAGGATATTTAACATTGAACTAATGGGAGTTATAAAACAGAGGACAGCAGAGAAGGAATCATTAACGATACAACATAAAGGAATGCCACAATCCAAAACCAAATAATATACATTTGTTTCATTGCTGTTCTTATTTGTGGTGCCGAGGATTGAACCCAGACCATCATATAAAATAGATAAGCCCTCTTCCACTGAGTTACATCCACAATCACAACATAAACTTCCTGACTAAAAGTCAAAACACGACAACATATGGGGAAAGGACTCACAAAGTATATAAAATAGTAACTATCCTGAATACATAAAAAAAAAAAAATAGTAGTAAAACTGCATTTCCAGAAACTCCGAAAGCCACCACAAGAGTTGAAAACCAGTGCAAAGTGGTTACCTCTGGTGGGTAGGAATGTGTGTGGTATCAATCAGTAGGGGTAAGTTTAAAATCAGAAGTGTCAGTTCTAACCTGTATGCATTATTTTGATTAAAAGTTTCTTAAAACATTTTTACAACATTTTCAGATATCAGAGTATCTTGAGTAAAAATATTAAACAAATTTTATACAAATCATAAATAATTTTAGAGGTGTACTCATCAAAAACATACCTAGGACATGGGTAAAAGAAACAACCCAAATTTTGACTTGGCAATCCTGACCACATGAGGCCAATCGAAAAAACTGAAGACCTTGTTCTCCACCTAAAACAGTAATTTGTTAAATAAGTACAGAGAATTGATAAAACATTAAACTAAAAAATATCAGTTTCTTATACTGAGATATTAATGCTATTCATTTAAACTATATTAACAATATTAATCTATACCATCTAATGAAACATTGATTAAAGAATTTCTTTTATACAAAGTACTATAAGGAATATAACTTTAGACTTGAATGTGCTATAATAAAATGCCTTTAACTCAAAGTTGAAATAGCCAATATTGAGCCATTAAAATGGGGCATCCTCCAACTCAATTTTACAGGCTATCACTTGGTGGGCAAAACTGGGAAAAAAGTGTCAGTTACAATAAGAACATTAAAAAGTTAATCATTCAAAACTTAAATATTTTCTGATACATCAGTTTCTTAAAACACTGTTCTATAATTCACATGGAATAGTGGCAGTTTTTTTCTGATTTAATAAATAGACTGAAATGACATAAATCCAAAATAACATCAATTCAGCTCATTTGGTGAAAAATATTAAACAATTTAAGGAAAATAATAAAAACGTACCATTTCAAAAAGCCACTAGCTTAAACATTCTAGAGAATTTCAGTATATCATTATACAGCTATTATTAAGTCCCTAAATACTTGTGGGTAATATAAGTATCAACAGCCCCAACTCGATCTTACACAAGTTCCCCCTCATATCATAGACGCAGTTTCATCAGAGAGGGTTTTGGCATTCATAGGAAGTCAAGCATAATTAAACCTAACATCCATCTTAAGACTGTACTCTGGTTTTTACCAATATTCAATACATGGTATTTATAAGCTAGGTGTATAAATTTTTATCTACATATGCTCTCACATTAAAAATATATATTATTTGGGTTGGGGATTTAGCTCAGTTATGTTGCCTCATAAGCATAAGGTCCTGAGTTTGATCCCTGGGACCAAACAAACAAAAAACATATATTTTATGAACATAACAAATATACTTCCATTTCATTAAAGGTTTTGTTAACTCCATTGAGACTTCCACATTTCAGGGGCATTTCGATTTTGTTTTGTTTTACAGTGCCAGGATTGAACCCAGACTTCCACATGCTAAGCAAGCATTCTACCACAAGGCCACATCCTCAACTCCTTTATTCAGCCAGGGTGCATTTCATTGTTCAAACTGGGCTTGGACTTGCGATCCTCTTGCTTTAGCGCCCTCTCTCCACCAGTGGCTGGCACTACAGATGTATACACCACTACATCTGACCAGCATTTCGTTTTTGGCAGCACAGGTTCAGACAAAATACAACCTTTCTCAAGAGAGGTCTTGATGATTACAAGCAATTTCTGATAATCTTTAGGCTTTTAAGGTAAAAACACTTTACTTAGTAAATGAAGTAAGCTATTTAAGTGTTGGATCTGTTTAGAAAAAGCTATATTTTCATTGTTTTTTGGACTAACAAGGTCCCTGTAGTGAATTATGACACTGCTTTAAATAGTGAGAATTTAGTTAGGGCAATGGGAAATTATGAAGCTTAAAGTGTGCCTATGCTCAATATTTAATTATTTACATATATTTCCTTTAGGAAAAATATTTAAATTGTAATAACCTAAACCACACTTTATTACCATTTAAAAGCTGGAGTGACTACTTATCCTCAGATGCAAATGAAATTATTTTTCCTTATTTGAGCAAAATGTCACATGCCTGAGGCATTAATATCAAATATTTATAGATATTATCAAATACTAAATTACACAACTAATTAAAACATATACTTCATCTTTTATACAAGTATAGTTCTCACAAATTTTTGTAATAACCACTTTTGAAGTATGTATTAACCTGTTATGGAGAACTTACATATAAAATTAGTACAACAGAAGAGCTAAAAAAAAAAAAAAAAGACAGGGCTTAAAATGATACTGAGAGAAAGACTTACTTTGAAATCCCTTATAGGCAGGGTAGGGGTGGATCTGTGTATTACTTCAGAACTTCTTTCTGGTTTAGTAAACCTTTCCTGAATCCATATGCTGCCCATAGTTTTATTCTAATATTAACTAATACAATAATGGTACTGTCACTCAAAATCTGCTTCCATATCCTTTAAAATAAAAACAGAAACCGAAATGTCCCTATGTTTTTATAATTCATCGAAGATTCACTGATATGGACAAAGTACCACAGAAATGGAAGAAATAGTTCTTGTCCATTACAACCTATTCTTTGTACAATAAAAAGCACACTATATTAAAAAATTAATTGCTTAATTAATTAGAAAGGAGTTTAACAGAGAATGGGTTCATGAAAAGGAAACTGATTAATCTTCTATAAAATGTTAAAAGGTTAAAAAATTAGCCAGGGACACACCTGTAATCCCAGTTAGCCAGGAGGATTGCAAATTCAAGGCCAGCCTAGGTAACTTAGATTTTTGTCTCAAATAAAACATACAAAGAGCTGGGGCTGTACTCAGGGGTGTAGAATGGCTGCTGGACTCAATCCTCAGCACTACAAAAACTAAAAATAATTAAAAATTTCAGCAAATCACTAAAAGAAATCCAGCTCACCAATCTTCATTCAATATATGGTATTTGATTTATATAGTAGGTACATGAATTTTTATCTACGTATAAGGCATACTATCTGTGCTAGGCAGTGTGATAAAAACAGACCCAGGTCATGCCTGCATGGAGCTTACAACCTAATAAGAAAAACATCATGAGACATTATCCCTTTAGAAAGCTGGGCATGACAGCAAGGCCTGTAACCCCAGCTACACAGGCAGCTGAGGCCAGAGAACTACTTGAATGTAAGAATTCAAGGCCAGCTTGGACCACATAGCAAGAACCCATCTCAAAAAAAAAAAAAAAAATCTATGTAATGAAATATATAACTAAAAACTGTGACACTTATGTAAAGTCTATCAAAGACAAAGAGTACAAATAAAAGATGTTATCAAAATGAAGAATAATTTCAAACTAAAATTAACTAAGACAAAAGAAGGCCACTATATTCTTGTAAAGGAAACAATACAAGAGGAAGAGATGACAATCATAAATATATATGCACCAAATACTAATGCCCTCAACTATATAAAACAAATATTAAGGGACATGAAAAACCAAATAAGCACTAATACAATTGTAGTGGGGGACCTAAATACCTCACTATCACAAATAGATCATCTATACAAAAAAATTCAACAACTAAATACTAGAACTGAACCAAGCTTTTGAATAAATGGACTTAACAGACATCTACAGAGTGTTCCACCCAACAAAATCAGAACAAACATTATTTTCAGCTGCACACAGGTCATACTAGCTCACAGAATATGTTTAAATAAATGCAAAGGAACTGAAGCTATTCCATGTATATTATCAGACCACAGTGCAATTAAGCTGGAGATCAACAGCATAAGAAACAGCTAGACCTTCACAAACATATGGAAATTGAATAACACACTCCTGAACAATCAATGGGTCACAGAAGAAATTAAGAAATTAGACAGTTTCTACAATTAAATGATAATGCCAATACAACATACAGGAATCTATGGCACACAATGAAAGCAGTTCTATGTGGAAAATTCATAGCAGTGAATGCCTACAATAGGAAAACAGAGTGAGTTTAAATAAACAACCTAATGAGGAAACAGTCTCCTAGAAAAAGAAGAGCAAGAAAAACCCAAAGCTCATACAATGGAGGAAATTATGAAGATGAGAGCAGAACTCAATGCAGTGGAAACTAAGAGAACAATACAAAAAAAAAAATCAATGAAATCGATAAACCCTTAGCCAACCTTATCAAAAAAAGAAAAGGTTCAGATCCATGCGATTAGGAATGAAAAATGTGAAGTCACAACAGATCCAGCAGAAATCCAGAGGATCATCAATACCTGCTTTGAGAACCTGTACTCTAATAAAATGGAACACACAGAAGAAATGGACAAATTTCTTGATAATTATGAATTAACAAAGTTGAACAAAGAAGATATAAAAATTCTAAACACCCCAAATACAATCAGTGAAATTGAAAATGTAATTAGAAATTTACCAACTAAGAAAAGCCCAGGACCTGATGGTTTCACTGCTGAATTCTATAAGACATTTAGAGAAGAACTGCTGCCACTACTCTTTAAACTCTTCAATGAAACTGAAAGGGAAGCAATACTTCCAAATTCATTCCTGGAAGCAAGTATTACTTTGATTTCAAAACCAGGGAAAGACCCAACCAAAAAAGAGAACTACAGGCCAATCTCCTTAATGAACATGGATACAAATTCCTCAATAAGATACTGGCAAACAGAATACAGAGGGTCATCAAGAAGATCATAAATTCTGACCAAATCGGATTTATCCCAGGGATGCAACGATGGTTCAACATACATAAATCAATAATTGGAATACACTATATTAACAGAGTCAAGGACAAAAACCATATGATCATCTCAATAGATTATAGAAAAAGTATTTGACAAAATTCAACACCCATTCATGATAAAAACGCTACAGAAAATTGGGATAGTCTTTATCTCAACTTAATAAAGGCTATCTATGAAAAACCAACAGCCAACATCATATGAAATGGCCCAAAAGTGAAAACCTTCATGCTAAAATCAGGAACAAGACAAGGAAGTTCATTATCACCCCTCTTGTTCAATAGGGTTCTGAAAACATTAGCCACAGCAATTAGACATGAGAAATAAATTAAAGCCACAAAGATAGGAAAGGAAGAAGCTAAACTGTCATTATTTGCTGACAATATGATACTCTACATAGAAGACCCAAAACACTCTGCCAAAAGACTTCTAGACTTAATTGACACTTTCAGCAGAGTAGCTGGATACAAAGTCAACACTCAAAAATCAATAGCCTTCTTGTACACAAATAACAGACTCAGTGAGAGAGAAATTAGGGAAATAATTCCTTTCATAGTAACATTCAAAAAAATGAAGTATCTAGGAATCAATCTAATGAAGGAAGCAAAAGATCTCTGCACTGAAAACTACAGCACTCTGAAAAAAAGAGACTAAAGAGGATATTAGAAAAAGGAAAGATATCCCCTGCTCCTGGGTAGGAAGAATCAACATAGTGAAAACAGCCATACTACCAAAACTGCTATACAGAGTCAATGCAATCCTGATTGAAATTCCCACAGTATATTTCACAGAACTAGAGAAAATAATCCAAAAATTCACATGGAATAAGAAATGACCTAGAATAGCAAAAACGATTCTAGTCAACAGAGACATGATGGGGTATCACAATCCCCAACTTGAAACTATACTACAAAGCCACTGTGATAAAAATTGCATGGTATTGGAAAAGAAAAAGACCTGAGGATCAGTGGAATACATTGGAAAATACAGAAACGACTCCAGATGTACTCAGCTACCTCGTCTTTGACAAAGGAGCCAACTATCCTCAGTGAAGGAAAGATAGTCTCTTTAATAAATGGTGTTGGAAAAACTGGATTTCAACCTGCCAAAAATTAAAACTAGACCCTTTATCTTTCACCATGCACTAAACTAAAAGCCAAGTAGATCTAAATATTAAAACAAAACACTAAACTTTCTGGAAGATAAATTAGGCAAAACTGTTGAAGACATTGGCATAGGAAAAGACTTTATGAATAAATCTTCAGTAGCACAGGAACCAGCACAAAGAATCTACAGCTGGGATCACATTTTATTAAAAAGCTTCTGCACAGCAAAAGAAACCACCAACAGAGCTAAAAGACAACCCACAATGTGGGAAAAAATTTTTACCAGCTGCTCCTCAGACAAAGGACTATTATCTAGAATGTATAAAGAATTCAAAAAAGTCAGGCCTCCCAAATATAAAGATCCAATTCAAAAAATGAGAATCTGAAATGAATAGATGTTTCTCAGACAAACAAGTAAAAGCAGCAAATAAACATGAAAAAATGTTCAACATCACTGGTCATTCGAGAGATGCAGATGACAACAACAATGAGATTCCACCTCACCCCACAAAGAATGGCTGCTGTCAAGAAATCAGCCAATAACAAATGTTAGCAGGTTTGTGGGGAGAAAGGAACCCTTCTCCACTGTTGGTGGGAGTGTAGACTGGTACAACCACTGTGGAAATCAATATGGAGATACCTCAAAGAACTAGGATTAGAGGTTCCATTTGACCCAGCTATTCCCCTGCTGAGTATCTTTCCAAAAGAATTAAAAGAATCATATCACAGTGATATATGTGTACCCATGTTTATAGCGGCACAGTTTGTAATAGCCAAAACTTGGAAACAGCCCAACTGCCCATCAGTTGGAGACTGGATAAAGATGTGGTTTTTCTATAAAATGGAATACTACTCAGCCATAAAGAATGAGAAACTAGAGTCATTCTTAGGAAAATGGATGCACATTGAGGCCATACTCTTAAGTGAAATAAATAAGACACATATGTGTAAATAGCGAATCATTTCTCTGGTATGAAAAACTAAAAGCGTAAATAAGATCCAAATTGTATAACTGGTAATGTGAAATAGGAAGAAAAGGGCTAAATGTGTAGAAGTGGGAAGGGTAGGGGAAAGGAAGTAAGGGAAAAGAAAAAAAATATGAGAAAAGGAAAAAATGGAAACAAAGTCTTTGTAAATAGGGGAGGCTGGAGGAGGTAAAGGGAGGGCAGGGGTATGGGCAAAAAATGAGAACCAAGATCTGTCATGTAAAGGTGCAAGATCCCAATCATGAATGTAACTGTATGTATACTTAAAAAGGTACCAACAAATTTAATGAAAAAAAATGAAGAACAGACATATAAAGTGATTTTATAACCAAAGTCTAAAGAATTACTAAGGAATGAAGCAGGTAAAGGATCCACATATTAAACCCTTGGAAAAATCTTAGGAAAACTGAAGAATGAAAGTAAGCTACTATGGCTAAAAAATGCAGGAAGCCAAAAAAAAAAAATTATTTGAAATTAGGGTGAAATGGAATATGCAAGGTACATATAGGGTTTGCCTTTTGGATTTAGGATTTTACTTTACTTTTATCATATCAGCCATCAATGTTTGGGAAATAGGAGAAGGCTTAAACCATCCTGTTGACTATCTGGACCTGTGTTATCCAATAAAGTCATGACTACCCATATATGGGCACTGAACACCTGAAATGTAGTTGTTCTGTATTGAAATGGGCTATGTATTTTTTTTTCTCATTGAGTTTAATGGTACATTTTAAGTATTGGGTACAGTTTCATTCACCATTGGGATCTTGTACCTTTACATGACAGGTCTTGATTCGCATTTTTTCCCCTTGTCCCTGCCCTCCCTTCACCCCTCCTCCCCTCCCCCCCTCCCCATTTACAAACATTTTATTTCCATTTTTTATTTTCTCCTATTTGTTTCTTTCCCTTATTACCTTTCCCCTACCCTTCCCACTTTCCCTACACCTTTAGCCCTTTTCTTCCTATTTCACATTGTCAATTATCTCATTAGGATCTTATGTACTATTATAGTTTGTTCAGACCAGAGAAACTACTTGGTATTTACACATGTGTGACTTATTTATTTCACTTAGGAGTATATCCTCAATATGTACCCATTTTCCTATGAATGAATCTAATATCTCATTCTTTATGGCTGAGTACTTTTCCATTTTATAGAAAATGTGCTATAATATACACATCAGATTTTTAAAGACTTAGTATAAAAAAAGGAAAAATAGAGCTTAGCATGGTGTCTTATGCCTAGAATCCCAGTCCATGGCAGAAGGATCACAAGTTTGAGGCAAGACCCTTTCTTAAAAAATTCACCAAAAAAGGAAAAATAGTTTATTGATATTTTCTACTGATATTCAGTTATTCAAGTGACATTAAAGATACTGGATAATTATTAAAATTATATATTGTTAAAATTAATTCTATTTACTAAACATTTTAAATTTACCTATAAGATTCTCACCACACTGCTATAAACAACATTAATCTAGCCATAAGACTCAAGAGCTTATCATTTGAAACTAGAAAAGGAAAACTGCCTTTTAAACTATTTAAACTATTTAAACATATTATTTTATAAAGTTTGCTTCTGGAAGATTAAATTAGTAAGTAGAAATGTAACTTCTCTTTGCAAATTTTTAATTTCACATTTCCATTTGAATACCAGTATATTTAAAAATCACAGAAAGACTAAGTCAAATCTTCTAAATTCCCATAGTCAAGCAATCAACCTATTGTACCAAGTTGAATTACCCCTTATATATAAAAAATAATTTTCTCTTGTATTTCTCATGACTTCATTTTGATCTAAAAGAAAGAAAAGATGATTCCATAAAAAGCAATGAATTGAGAGCCTTTCAATTCATTAGTAAAACCAAAATGAATAAAAGGACAAGAAGTTACATTCAAGTGAAAATGGGAATTTCTAATGCTTAAAAAACTACAATAACTAACCAGAAACTGGCTGTGAAGAAAAATCGCAGCAAGTAATTCCGAGGTCATGTGCTTTTTCGCTATGCAGACATCTCATTTTATCATCCCACACTGTTAAATCTCCACAGGAGGAGCCAGTGACAAAGAGGTTTCCATTAGGAGAAAATGCACAGGCCACCAAGGAGCCATCCTTAACACTACCACATCTGAAACAAAAGCAAAAAAGGGAGATTTTTATTTCAGAGCATCTTTTATATTACAATCAATAATATCAGTTTGAAATAGTAAAAAAGGGCAAATGGCTATCACAGAACTACAGAAAAAAGACAAATGACACCTACAAAAATATCATTCATATGCTCTAAATTGAGGCATGCTTTCTAAAATTAAGAAAGGATTTAAACACCTTAATGTTTTAGCCTAAAATGCAAGGATTTGAACCAAAGTCCATATGGCAAGTCAGTTTGAACACGTTAGTCTACAAAACTTAAAAAAACAAAACAAAAGAGCAATGATAAGCAACAAAAACTATAGCCATCCTTTTTTAAAAAGACAATAGAAAACTATTTTTCTTGAAAAACATGTTACTGAGGTCAAAAGCATTTTCAACTTCTGCATCAAAATCACCGGTGCAATAGTAAGATCTTTCATCTCATCTTCAAATGAAAATTCTCTCTGAGAAGAAAATGTTGTGAACAATTTACAAATTATCTTGAGGAGGGAGGGAAGCACTGTGCTGACATCATTATTTTCTCAATTAGGAAAACTAAATTGGTAAGAACCCAAAAATGAGTGCATGTTAATTATATACATTATGAGGTTAGGCTTATAAAGGCAGAAGTCATCACCTGATAAGTGAAAAAGAAGATTCCTTTAGCTGACATTTGGATTTCAGCCACATAAAGACAATTTTATTCTTTCTGTGCTTTCTTGTTAAGCCAAATACATATTAATACCACTTAAAACATACCCTCTGCTTCAACCTAACTTAAATGAACAACAGTTGCTGACTGGCTGGCATTGGTGTTCTGAGTGATGATTAGAGGCGGGGGCAGAAATACTAGACATTTAAACATTTTATTTTATTTATTTTTTGAGAGTATCTCACTATGTAGTTCAGGCTTGCCTCAGCCTCCTGAGTGTTGGGATTATGGGGGCATGAGCCACCACACCCAGCTATATTTTAATTGGTAACATTTAAGTGTAAATTATTAAAATGGTAAATGTTATGTGTAGTTTACCACAGTAAATACAAATAAGTTTATGGTTTTAATTTTGGTAAGTTTCAGAAAAATATTATCAATGTAAATTAATTGGTATATTTTTTCTGAGTTTTTCAGGTAAGTTTTTTCAGATATAAATGACCAAACACCACTATACCAATAATAAAGTTTCTTCTTCTAGGCTGCTTGTTCACAAAGCAAGAGCCCTAGTCAGGAAAACAGATGCATCTCTTCAGTGGGTCTTAACACTACATGATGTTATTACCGAGAACACCTGAGCTATGAGTGACAAAAATAAGCCTAACATTTCTGAACCTTATTCAAAAGACTATTTGCTTTCTTTGCTTAACTCTCAGTTAGTCAATAAAAGCCTAACAAGACTAAAAAAGACTGAAAATTCAAAACTCTCTCAAAGCCAAGGAACTCTACTACAGGAATCATATTAAAAAATCTACTTTTTTGACCTTAAGAAGACAAGTCAATACTTTTACTTGTCCTATCTGCAAACTACCTGCTTTCTAAGATCATCAGAATATTTGGCTTTTTTTATTTCTTTAGTAGAACTTGTTAAGAGGATTAAATACAGATGAAATTTAAACACTCATACCTATACAACTTGTGTGATTGTGCATTCCACAAAACAACAGTTCCATCAGCTGCTCCAGATGCCAAACAAGAGGAGTCTGGCGAAAACCGGCAAACTCTCACGGGGCTACCCCCGGGCTGTTCCATCACCGCCAAGGTCTGTCCATTGTGAGTACTCCACAGGACGGTGGTACCGTCTGTGGAACATGATGCCAAAATATGTCCTGAAGGAGAGAAACAGCAGCAGTGGACAGCATAGGTGTGGAATTTCAGTGGAGAGTACGGAAGTTCAGTGAAGTCACTTAGGGTGTACAGGCGAATTGTTTTGTCCAAGGAGCAAGTAGCCAACAGGGAAGAAGAGAATGCACAGCAATTGACATCATCACTATGATCAGCTAATGTGTGAATTAATTTCACCATGTTCTTTATTTGAAGTAAAAGAGCCTGCAAGGTTTAAATTGGGAAAGGTTATGTCATTTTAGGAATCATAAATGCAACTCAAACCCATGTCAAAGAGCCAAAATCAATTTAAGAACCTGATCAAAGAAAGCACCTACATTAATATTTTTAAAGGACAATCTATAACCTGGGATAAGGATAATCCGGAGACATAAAACAGTTACAAGATTCTTCCTGGAAGACATTACAGTGATACATGCATGCACACATTTATAGCTCACAATAAATCTTGGAAGCAGCCTGTACGCCCAGCAACAGATAAAGGGATAAAGAAAACCAACAGACTACTCTCAGCCATAAAGGGTACGTCTGCGTCATCTGTAGAAAAATGGATGCACCTTGAGATAACGCTAAATGAAAAAAACCTGACAGAGAATCAACTATCACATGGTTTCTCTGTAATATAAACCCAAAGTATAAACAATCTAAAGTGCAAAATAAAAGGTTACAGGAAAACAGCGAGGTAGATCGTTTGGGGACTGAATAGGGCCTAGGGAGTGATGAAGAGGGGAGGAAGTAAAACCAATTACTGTGTATGTAGTCAGCACACTCCCCACAATGAATAGATGCCTTACGTACTGCAAAAATGTACTTATAAAAAACATTTACAAGGTTATGACCTCTGATGATGATCACAGCCACCACTGCCATCCAATAAAGTTCCACACTCCTGACAAAGAACCCTGACAGGTAACTTCAAGCTGATTTGATGTTGAATTTTCAGACCTCCATTATTTATTTCACCTTTGAAGTCTTATCCATAACTAATTCTCAGCAAGACCTCATTTCAGAGCCACTAATCTGAACGCAAAGATTTTTCACAGGCAGTTAGGGTGACATACGCCTTTAATTCCCGCACTCTGGGAGGATGATCCCAACATCACAAAACAACAACAAAGTTTTTCCGTTATTTTAACGTAAGGTTTCAGCTGCTCCCTCCACCGAATGGAGCTAAGGCTATTTCCTCTGCCTCCAAGACCCAACTGTAGGATTTGCTCATTAAAGAACAAAACAAAAAAGTCTATTCAAAACGTCAGTAGATGTGCTGAAAGCAAGCTTGTCACCTTGTGATAAATAAAATGATACAAAGGATTTGAGATCAGGAAGCAATTTTGAGCAAGTCAAAGAAACCAACAATGCCAAAAGTTGTATTTAACCAGACTACTCGAAAACAAATGTAAAATTTCAAAGCAAATCCAAGTTCCTCCACATGTCTTAGCAAATCTTATACGGCATAGTTGTTGTTCGCCTACTTCTCAGACCTCAACTCTTCCCTTTTATTTCCAGCCTCCTGAGTCAAACTGGTCTTTCAGTCTCATAAAGCAGCTGAAATGCCTTCCTCTCTGCTTTTGAGACCCTATTTCTCATTCAGATCTCAGTTTCAATGTTCCTCCTCACCCTACCTGAAGATGCTACCCTCCAGACTAGCACATCATGCTATTTCAATCCTCAATTTAGCAGTGACCAGCACTATCAGATATGTATTACGTGTCCCCCCTCCTAGAACATAAATTCCAAAGTAGGTACTTTACCTATACTCCTATATCTATAGCAAGTCAGATACCTAATGTGCGCGCAAAAATTTTAATATTTTTTCTATAGCCAATGAAGTTCTAGCCTTTAAACATCATATATGAACTATGGAATAATCAGAGAATAAAGCTACCAAAACTTTTTTAAAATGGCAATTTAAAAATAGTGTAGAATCAAACAGTAAACGGCCCTAAAGATATAGGTATAACCTTGACTTGTACAATTCATAATCTTTTGTCTTAATCTTATTTATGGGAATCTCTACCAAAAAAGCATAGCTTTTCCTATCTTTATTTTAATCATAAAGGTCAGCACACACACAGCCGCCGCCCCCGCCCCCGCGCGCGCCTTAAACAAACAAGCATTGGAAAATCTGGTAGGTTACGGCCTTTTATTGCCCTGAAAACAATCGCGATCAGGTGGCGCTTTCCGAAGAACTCCCTAATTACAACTGTGCAAGCTCACACAGTGATTTTTCCAAACAAACTCTGACTTCCACTGGGGAGGCACTCAGCTCCCTGAGCGGCCGGAGGCCGCGCCTTCGGAAGCGCGGGATGCTGACCCGCGGACGCGGTTTCGTGAGAAGCTCTCTCGCCCGCCCGCCCGCCCGCTCGCGTGCTGGGTGTGGGGTCCACTGCCGCCTCAGCTCCCGGGCAAACAGCATCCTGATCTGGTGCAAACAGAACCGAAGGGAGCTGCGCACCCCCTAAATAACGGCGCGACTTACTTCTGTCGCACGCGAGGACCCAGACTTCGCGCCCGGCAGGGACTTCCACGCCCGCCTCCTTCGCCGCCGTCCAGGTCCACGCGGGGTCCCGCGCGATTAGAACCCACAGGTCTCAGGTCAGGCGGAGGCGCGCAGCCCTGGCCCGGG